GAATTTGGTGCCGCTTCCTGGTATGGAAAGTTATTTTCTTTGGCACAGGTGCAGAAGGCATGTTTGTGTCAGCTGCAGTCATTGCCGTGTGTTCAAGTGCAACTTTTCTCAGAAAATGTGAGGCCACAGTGACCTGGCAGAGGACGATCATCATTCGGTCTGGGTTAGCGCAAGTTCTTCCTTATCTGCTTGGTGTGCCATGCTCAGTCAGCTGCACTGGTCACTAGTGTGTTCACTTCACGTATTAGGCCCATAATTCTGCTTATTACTTTCAAAGTCCTTCATGGTCCGGCCTCTGCTTATCTCCCAGAGCGCCTTCATTCCTTTAGCTCCATTTGTGCCCTCAGGTCCTCTGAGGAACTGCTTGAAGTCCTGCACACCACACTCTCCTCAGTGTGTGGCAGGTCATTCCAGGCTACAGCTCTCCAAACTCTGCAATCTGGTTTAGTCTCTCAGTGACTGGACTTCATCTTTTATAACCGTAATTTAATAACTTTTCTTTCTCCTCATCATTACTATTTTTCTCTATTATATGTTAGTAATTAGTATTAGTAATCAAATCTAATCTAGTAATCTACAGATTATTTTGAGAATAAAAGGGAAACTCCACCAATTTCTCAAGATTTTTACATCATTCAGTGATTTGATGTGAAACAGGTAGTTGTTGAGCAACTTACCAACTCGTGATGACAACACAAATATAGCCATTTTACTTACCATACAAATCTACAAGTGAACCTTCATACATTTTTTTTTGTATATAATGTTGATTGTGGAGTACAAAAAAATAATTGGAAATCAGAAAAATCCAAATGTCTCAATTTTTTTTTTGCCTCACAATGCTCCACCGTGAATGGACTTAAAAATATGTTTTAGGCCGAAGCATTCTCAGAACTATTGTAAAACAATGTCTCAGACATCAGGCAGCGTATTTGTAACCATTCCATACAATAACTTTCTGTGAGGGAGCTTGTAAGTGTGGATGTCTGGTTCCTATCACCACCACAGTGAACAGTTCTGACTCGTTTCTCTAGAACAGAGCATTTCACATCAAACCACACTGAAAGGTTTTGTGTACATCTTAACAGCTTAATTCTACAGAAACTTTTTTAAAAATTGGTGGAATTTGCCTTTAACTGAGTAATCAAGGTTTTAAGAAAGGGCTGATCAATAAAAATGAACTTAAATGAATAACAACAAAATAGTAAACACACATATAAATGCAGCCATGGGCTGTTTCTTGATATAAGTGGTATAAACAGTCACCAAAGGGTCCTATGAGTATATAGTCAAGGGTTTCATGAAATTATATTTTGGTTGAACAGGGAAATTTTTCTTTTGGTTTCTTGGACGTTTTGTTGTGCAATTCACTCAGTTAACCATCAGTGTTGATAGTAGCAGAATGCAAGCAGACTCAGTGTTACGTCAGCTAAATAGTTACAGTGCATAGAATAATTTCATTCTTCTATATAATACAGTTGGAGTGGTTGGGGGTCCCTGAGTAGGATAAGAGTAGAAAATGCCACTGAATGCATGTGTGTGTTTGTTACTGTATAAGAGACCAGTAGGGGAATTTAGAATATGCCTTACTATAAACTGCTAACCAATCATTGCTGAGCAAACCTTAACAATTACTATTTTCAGCATTCATTATCAGGTAATTGAGGTTTAATTGGTTATTTGTGACAGCCCTACATGCATGTGCTTTTTTGTGGTTCTTTGATCTTGTTACAAAACAACCATAGGAAAGGTGCTATTTAAATAACATTTCTTCTTCTTCTTCTTCTTCTTCTTCTTATTATTATTATCATTATTATTATTATTATTATTAACCAATGGCACAATATGGGTAAGCACTTAAACAAATCAGGCATCTCAGAGTACAAGAAAACAGATCAGGTCTTATCAGTTTGTGTAATTCTTTCTAGTGTTACAAAGTCTGAAGTTTGAGAAATATGTGCCCAGACTTACTATTGTCAGTTATTTGAGCACACTAATCAACCTCAGATGATCCAAACCAGTGTCCTGTTAAAATTCTGATGTGTTGGGGGAATTCACTTAATCTAATCAATGGGAACAATTTAGGAAAATCACAGTGTCACTGACTCATCACATGAGTCATCATGTGTGCCATTTGTCTGTACCAGCACACTTCTAATTACAATTCTAATGAGTGTTCGATTAGTGTGGAAGTTGGTTTGAATCAATGCACAAATAGAGCTGTAAGTCCTTTGAAATTGTGGAAAAGATTTTAGTATGTTGTGTGGTGCTACATGTAGGCCTACCACTACTGCAACGTCATTGACTTCATGACTTGTAGCTTGTAGATTTGACATTGACTTGGTTTCTAAATTTTTCCTAATACTGTCTACATTATCATAGAAAGAAGGCCAGCATGTGAATACTGTTTCTGTTAATGAGATTTTAGAGCCATGATGCTTTTGGAAAACTAATTAGCAGCAATTAGCCTTAGTTGTTCTGAAGTATACCTGGGTCATTGGGTTGCATTGTGTATTCAGTCATCCAATGTCATTTTTCTTATACTCAATCTTTGATAATCAAAATGGCTGGACTAACTTAAACACCATATGAATACTGTGGGAAAACATGACTGCCACTGAATATTCTATGCATATTGTGCAGCCCCAGGCAACAAGAATAAACAAACCTGAAGGTATAGTCTCTATGCTACCCTTCTAGCATGAGTCTAACTCACCTGAGCAGTGTTTAGGCAAACATGAACATTTGAAGCTGATATGTTAGATCTGGTTTGAATTAAACTGTTAAAAGGGATCATTCAATCACAAACACATTTACACATTACACACATTTCCCCTCCCCCTAAATCAAAATGTAGTCAATCCAAGATACAGTCAAATGTAGAAGTTTGAACCCTTCTGGTCAAATTATATTTTGTTGATTTTCTAAGTGAAAATAAACACACACAGCATTTATAGCACATTTGCACAGATCTACAAATTTTAGTGCACAATATATGTGTATTTTGTGAGTTTAACGACATAAATTCAGCAAATAAACAGTAATTGTGCATTAAAATGTGCAGAAGTGTGTTCATTGTAGAAAATGTGTTGAAGGGGAATTCCACCTTTTTTTTACATTTCTGAATAATTGCTTGAGATGTAAACAGAGTCATTCTAAGTGGTTTGATGTGAAATGGTGCATTGTAGAGAAACTTACAAACTCAGAGTCTGGATGTCTACAATGCAAATATGGCCATTTTATGTACTGTCTTCTGAGTTTTTATATGCAATGCTGATGATGGTAAAATAATAGTCAATCTGAAAAACTCTGTTTTCTTTGAGAACTACTTTGTCTTTGGAATACCGTGCATCTATGCACCATGAATGGATTAAAATAAATTGATTAAAATATGTTTTGGACCAACACTTTCACAAAACTACTATAAAACAATGTGTCAGATATCAGGTGTGTTCATCACCATTTCATGCAGTTCATGTCCATAACTTTCTGTGAGGGAGCTTTTTAAAGGCGTTAGGCTCTTCAGACTTCTGGTTCCTATCACCACCACTGTGAACAATTCTGACTCTGCAAGTTTCTCTAGAACAGAGCATTTCAAACCAAATCAGTAGAGATTTTGAAAAAAAAAGAGGTCCCCTTCAACTTATTTTCACTGGCCAGGGGCGCATATGACTGTTACTGGAGTCAGAAATTTACTTCTTCTTCTTCTTGCACAGAAGCAGGAAGCTTTGTAAAAACTTTAGTTCCTAATTGTCATGAATGCCACGTACCAGCTCTGTTAAACTAGTGTCCCTGTTATGTATTTTACAGCCTGGACTGGAATATCTTTCTGGCTCCATCTCACTCTTCTACTAGATGTGCTAAATGAATTGCTTCATAGATCAGATCTAGCGGGCGTGATAAATTATGCACCTACCACTATTACTTTGCTGTAGATATTTAGTGGAGGCTGTGTTTGCTGTACTGAGCAGAGAGAATTATGTCTGTCTTTCAAAAATGAAATGCAACAAAATCTAGAACACAGATCGTCATACCAATCTGACTGATTTGTCTGAAGTCATTGTCCTGTTGACCTTTCTGAACGTTATTGCACTGGTCTGCCTGCCTCTGTATACAGCCAGTATGGAACTGCTCTCATAGAAGGCACCTTCAAGGATATCTAGAAACTTTTTTCAGTTGGAACATAAGCATGTCTAAAAGCATGCTTGTCTCCTCTAAATCACTCCATCAGGAACCAATTAGAATGATTCCAGAAGACCTCAGGAGAGCGCTTCTGAGCCACATCAAAGACAACCTGCTACCACTCTGAGTGATGAAGGATGGGTTGCCAGGCTGAGAAGTCATTGCTGATGTCTACGTCTGTACACGCTGCGAGTTTCCCCAAAAGAATCCTAAAACATTATTACAACATGGTAAAAGACCCTGGAGAAGCATTCAAACACTCTCGAGGCCCTTCCACAGCAACCAAACAAGAGCAAATGCCAGCATTGTAAACAAATCAGCTGGCTTTAGAAAGCCCAGAAAATAAAGCTTCCAAGCAAAATAAACCAATATGAACTGAGAACATTCTTAATGTTTCCCCAACAATCACAAGCATGCATTTCACACCAGCCCAGTTTGTGTTTAATGAGTGTTTGATTGGTGTGGATGGGCTTTTAAATCAATGTGCAAATAGACCTATAACTCCTTTGAAATCGTGGAAATGAGACAGTATAGTATGTTGTGTGGTGCTACATGTAGGCATGCCACTACTGCTATTGTTACTGATTTCATGACTTGCAGCTTGTAGATTTGACATTGATTAGGTTTCTAAAATTATCATACCATCTATAATGTCAGAGAAAAAAAGGGCATCTTAAGACTGTGATTTAAGAGCTATGATGCTGTTGGAAAATTAATTCCATGGAGTTATGGGTTAATTAATTTATGGAGAGGAATTTGTGCCAAATTGAAAAGCAATCATTAAAGTAGAAAAAATGTGAAATGCAATGCACATGACAGTACCCCTCTATATTGACATGCAGACTAGCTATCAACTTGAAAAACAAAACCTCTAATGCATCATTTGTACTTTGCTTGACCTCTTTACTGAAAAACAGTACACAAAGATTTCCATGTATGAAAATGAAATGCATTTGTGTCAAAAGTTGAATACAATCCCCTTGAAATATAAAATCACGGCTATATCGCTTTCCACTGTGCAGTACTCTAAATGGAGTGGCCTCACTGAAATACAATCATAACAGTGAAAACACTGAAATACATATTTTGGATATATTCAAATGTATTTGCCTGCCTCACTGAAATGCAACCAAAACAGTGAAATGCAATGCACACATGAGATTGTGTTTAAACAGTAACATGTAGAAACGTGTGCCAAAGTGTAAAGTAAGGTTTGTTACATTGATTTAACACTGAAGCACTGCACAGTGGAAAGTAAAAGCTGTGCCTTCATTACATTTCAAAATGGATCGTATTCCATTCTGACATGAATCCAACATTTCCTCATGTGTTATTTTTCAGTACAGAGGTCGGATGAAGTGAAAACAACGTAATACAGATTTTGCTGTTTATTTTGGCATGTGTTCTGCATGACACTACGGAAAAGTAGTATCATGCATGCATTGCATTTCAAGTTTTTTCAGTCTAGTGATTGCTTGTCAATTTGGCACCAATTCCTCTCTGCAGTAATTAGCCTCAGTTGTTCTGAAGTATAACTGGTTAATCAGGTTGCAGTGTCAATCTGCTGCACAAACATGATACAAATATTGTGGGGAAAAACGACTGCCATGGATTACTGTTTATTAAACCAATGTGTTTGTATTTATGATGTACTGACATTTTCTTGCATCATGGACACTCCTCAGCATCAGCAATTTCAGCAGCTGTTGCCTCATGTCTTCAACAACTTTACAGTACACATCCTTTACAACATTCAAAATTCCATCAACCACTTCAAACTCTCTGTACACGTTTCAAAAGCATAGAGTAAAGCCAACTGGAACACTGCTAAAAACTGACCAATGCATTCTTTTCATATAAGTCAATATAAGCATGTTCCAGTTTTCTATATTTAGTCTCAATTAAATAACATTAACATTTTAAATGAGCATCTGAAAATGTTGGCTTTCAGTGTTGACCTATAAATTAAAAAGGATATAAATGAAAATAGGGGTGGCCAACATGACTATAGTTATGGTTTACATGATAAATTTGATCACATTGCTACAATAGGGATGGGCAATATAATCATTATCTTGAGTTTATTGTTATACACAATATGCATTTCTGAGCATATCATGTTTAGTACTTATGTTAATACTAACACTAAATCAAACAGGACTAATTTTGCTCTCTTTGCCATGTAGTTTGTCAGTTACCTTTAAGTGCTTACAGAAAACTGACAAACTATATGGCAAAGAGAGCAGAAGTGTAGTACAGTATGTGAAATGTTGAATGATAATTATTGTACTCATAGTTTATGATAGCAGTTTTTAAATGTGACACTACTAGCACACTTTGTGTGTCAAAATATTGATAGATTTCATGATAATTTCTTTAAGTACTGTGATATATTATTTTTTCAATATCGCCCACCCCGAGAATATTGGTCGACAGCACAGAACACTGACCAACAGGCATGTTTCATTAAAGGGAGCATACTTAGTCTTGAGTTTTTAAAAATGTGGCACTATTGGTTCCTTTTTTGTCTGTTCCAACTTAACAAATCTAAAAAAAAACAAAATACTGTGATGCATATAATGTATCGAGACAATGAGCGCCATTACATGCACTTAATAATACGATCATTATGGATTTCAGCAGTGATCTGATTTTTCAAGTGGTCATGTAAACAGCATACTGCGATTTCTTAGACTGGATTAAGACTTAGAAATTCGATTAAGAAATCCGATAAAGAGCTGGATTTTATCTCAGTAATCAAGATTCTCAGCGGATGTGTACTTTTACACTGATTTCTTTCGTTTGTCCTCAGTCTACGCATGTGCCGAAAATAAACCGCAACATGCTAGACGAAATGAAGGATTTAAATATTCTTCATCTATGGATGATGTATGTTCATATTTTCCACTGAAGTGACACAATGTTAAAAAAAAGCTGCAGCATGATGTTTGAGTTTGTATTACATTTATGTCACGTCTTCCTCTGCAAGTTTATTGGCTGGTTGTAAAGCAGAAACCTGACTACTACCTGACTCATGTAGACCCGGAGTTTCCCATTATTCGATTACTCAACTGCACGTAAACACACTGAACAAATTACTGACAAACTGTGATTTTCTGCAGTTATCGGATTAAGTGCATGTAAACACATTCACTGTCTTGAAATATCTTGATATTATTGCCCGCACCTACAAAAAAAAGTTTTGAGTAAAATCAAAAGGAAATGTGCAATTTTTTTTTTAAACTGTGCACTGTTATGGGGATTTCACAAACTGTTATGAAAAGTTATTGTGAACAACCATGGTTAAGCAATCCAGACAAAAATAGTAAAAAACACCTAAATTAAGGCTTAGAAATACATGATTTTAAATCATGTAAATTTAAGACATGAAGAATGTTTGCAGAATTTTGATCAAATAAAAAGGATTGCATTATAAAATGCAAATATTAAGCTCAGGAGCTTTGTTTAATCACAGCTGATCCTCAGAAGCAGTAAAAGCCTCGTCATGAACAGCCTTTACACCCCTAACAAAACCACAACATGAAGTATTTAAATAGTCCACTCTGCCCTACTCTTGATGTACATGTACAGTGTACATGATGTGCCGCTCAGCTGATAATGAAGACTCTTGGGCCTTCCTCCCTCATTGGTGGAAGGCTGTCTACATTTTCGATGAGGATATGCTTGTCCTCCCGCTTGGCTAGGCTGTGCTGCCCCTGAGGCTGGCACAGGTTATTCCTCAGGTCCTCCAGAGACACATGAAGGTCCTTGAAAAGATGTAGCATGCTTACCCCCAGCACAATGACCAGGAAGCCCCCGATAGTGCCCACAACATCCACCCCTGACATAGATCCCCACTCTTTGAACAGAATGATGGAAGTAGTCAGGACCACAGTGGTGAAGAAGACATAGTAGATAGGATACACCAGCAGCGTGTTGAAGGTGTCCAGCGACTTGTTCAGGTAGTTGATTTGGATGACAATGGAGGACACTAAGGCCAGCAGAAGGATCCAGGTGAGGGGGTGGCGGAAGACGGAAGGATCGGAGAAGGCAGTGCGGATGGCGATGCCCAGGCCCTTCACCGAAGACACAGTGAAAGCTCCAAGCAATGAGCAGATACTTATGTAGACTAATATGTTGGTTTGACCAACACGAGGAGAGAAGTAGAAGATAAGAACCAAACACGCCGCAAGAAGGATGCTGGCGAACACAAGGAAACCTTGAGGAGCAGAACAGAGAAAATTTATAAATCAGGTTTCATTTTTAATTAGTTTGAAGGACTAATTTCTTTATGTGATGTTTAAAAAACCTGATTTGCAGCCTCGTTCCTAACCTTGGACTAACATTCATTTCCGATAGGGGATGCACGTTAAAAGAACAGGCTTCAAGTTTTCCTTGACTGGTTATAAAGCTAAAAGAAGGCATATGGCTACTAAATATGTAATACTTCAGTATTTCAGTTCCATCTGATATCTCACATTCAATCGTCTGAGCCAAAAACATGATATATTTCGAACGGTAACTTAGTCACAGTTCATGTTTGGAGTCAGATTTTGCACATATTCCAGCTTTTGTGAAATGTTGACATTACAGGTTGCAGGTTTTATATCAGTCACTTCAAATTTATAGCTCAGCTGCACTGTTTATAAGATCACTGTTTGCACAAAGTTTACTACTTTACAGTCTTCTGTTCTGAAATATAATTTGTATTCTTTTAAAATCACCCCCCTTGTAGAACTGCCATCCTCCTTTCAATCCTTTTTTGGATTAATGTCATTATGAGATATCACTTAAGATGTATATTATACATGTTTTAAATCCATGTTTGAAATTTACACATCAAGTTGCCTTGAATGTATTTGGGCAGACCCACAGACTTACACATTCACACACACTCACACCTAGGGCCAATTCAGTATCTCCAATTCACCTGACTGCATATCTTTGGACTGTGGGAGGAAACTGGAGCACCCATGCAGAGGAAACCCATGCAGACATGGGGAGAACATGCAAACTCAATATAAAATACCAACCTTTTATAAACTGTATAAAACTTCTAAAAGGTTCTACTACAAAAACAAGCGCTTTAGCAGAGCACTGAAACAGAATCAGTGGTCAGCATCAGCCGACACCCACAAGACAAGCATTAACCTAATTAGCAGGCAATCATGGAATTGGGTTTCATGGGGCTTTAAATAAAAGTCAAACATTGTAATGGAAAAATACTATCTTAATACCTGAAGAGATAAAAACACGAAGTTGCAAAAAGAATTATACACAAGCTCACCTGGGTCAAGCAATTTATCCGCCATTTCTCTCAAAGTTGTCACTGCTTCCTCCTCTGGTGCATGTATGACCATTATGGTGCTTCCCAGAAGACTGAGCATGCAGCCAAGCTTCCCCAGCAGGTTCATTGTCTCCCCAAAGAGGTGGGAGGACAGCACTGCACTGGGGAGAAAAACACAAAATACCAGTATAAGTACTGCGCAATCTAGAAGCCAATATTTTCCACTACTTGACTGGCATGATGGCCTCATTATAACGGAAAATTCTCACAATCCTACATGTTTATTCTGACACACAGACGAGTTCTGCCAAACTGTTTCAATATAGCCTGAGTGTCTGCCTGTCACAGGGATTAACTAAATGATAAAAATGAACTGTGATGTAATACATTAAACAGTCTGTATAGTGGTAGGGCTGCACAGTACAGATATCGACATATTGCGATTGTGATATCTTGCAGTACACTAAAAACACATCAATGAATTCTTAATGCGACACAGTTAAAGAGCAGCTTACTTTATTTTGGCCAAAACCTCTTAGGTTTGTTGGATCATATAAATCCCTTGACTTCTCCAAGCATTCACAGAATATCTGAGAATGCTCATAGCACAAAATAAAACATTCAGTGATTGGTTGGAGGGCTCATTTGCATGTTGCGTCTGCAATATCAGTATTCTGAAAACTGATAGCGCAAAAACAATTAACAATATATTGTGTAACTGTAACAGTGGGGTAGGACAGTGTTAAAATTTCCATGCCTAATATGTTCTCAATAATAATAATAATAATAATAATAATAATAATAATAACAACAACAACAACATTTATTTATAGAGCACTTTTCATACACACAGAAGTTCAAAGTGCTTTACAAATAGTAAAACTAAGAAATGAATTCAGAGCGCACAAGAGAAAGTAAATAAACAAGTAGAATTTAAACATACAAGAAAAATAAAATGAACAGGAAAATAAAATAAGACAACATGAAAATGTAAATAATATTAATTATAATAGTATTTCAAATCAAAGATAAATTAAAAAGATACATTTTGTTCTTTTAAAAATGTGTCCTGAACTAAATGAGGTGACTAGTTCTTCAATTTAGAAGCATAAAAACAAAAGAATTATTCCTACGTCTGAAAATACAGCATCATTACCTGAAAAGGACACTAAGGGCTCCCAGAGGGGTGACCACAGTGGCTGGAGCAAACATGTATGCTGCGAAGTTTGCTCCCTCCCCTCCTCCCACTGGGCAAAAGAAACACACACACACACGCAAACCATATAATACAACTCTCATTTAAGGCTAAAATTCAGCAGATTATATTTCCAACAAACTTACTGGTCAAAAGTCCACCCCACCACAGCCAGTCTTTCAGGTACCCATGGCCTCCTTCTCCTAAATAATATACAGAAAAATAGTTGAATCTGCAGCTTCTGCTATATAAGTACAATTGATTATAACAGATGGCACTGATCTGATACCTGGTATCAGTATCAGGCTTACATCAGCAGAAAACGCTGGATCAGATATCAGACGGAAAAAAGAAGAAATATGATCCAATTCATAACAAATATATTATGAAACAGCACAAATTCACACTGAATGATGTGATGTTGTTAGCTGTGTATTGTTTCCTATGTTAGAGATGTTTGAACTTTTAGATACTCATCTTAAGTGAAATAGTTCTATTAAAAACAGCTCATTTTAAAGTTTGGTAGTTTTATATAAGAAATACTAGATCGGTATTTATACCAATTGTACCAATACCAATTACACTAAATCTCAATGTTTAAATATTAGTATAGGAAAAGGAAAATTAGTACTGTTTAATCTCTGTTACTTACATCTTGTTAGCCTTTTACTTAATGCTGAATTATTATGAAGTATGAAACTATTTATGATGACTGTACATTCAATTACATGACAGACAGCCATATTAACTGATCTACTTGTTCAAGCTATGCTGTTTAGCTAATCTCTGCAACCAACATGGACTATACACAAATAAGCTGCTTTCACTTTAGCATGCAGTATTTGCTTATGTGGCTGCTTCCATCACTTTTTAGGAAAATCCTTTTACCTGAGTTGAACTGATGCTTGCTCAGCTGATGTCAGTCATTATGTATACATGCACTAACCTGCCCTGGTATGACCATTTGTAGCCAAACGAAGCAGTGCCTTCTTTTTCAGGATCACACTTCCTCCAATCAGAAAAGCTGAGAGCACGGCTAAGGTCAGGCCAATCCAGAAATTGGACTTGCTCCATTTGTCTGTAGCAAGGGCTGGCCCAGCTACAGTGGAGTTGTTTTCAGGGTTGAAAGTCCAGTTGATGGCTTTTCCTGAGTCAATCGCGCACATAGCGCTGGACATTGGGCAAAGCAATCTGATTACTGTCCCTAAGGCAGATGGAGAAATGCAAGCTCATTTTGAGACACGTAAAGCAATTAATCTGTCAAAATGCTAAAATGTAATGCGGTTAAACATACTGTTTGTGGTGTATTATTGCTTTTCTATAGCCCTATTTAGGGAAGGTGCTAGATCCTGTTCCTTCTTGTGAAAGGTAATATACTAATGGGTGGCTCTATTTAAACAATGACATAGTCTGAGCTTCCTCAGCAGTGTTGTGCCCACAGGTTTGATTCTTTAAAAACAAAAATGCCAGCTCGAGTCCTGGAGATCTATCACCCTGCAGAGTTCAGCTGAAACAAAATTAGCTCTAATATTTAGGTGCTCCTGAAGGCCCTGATTGTCTGGATTAGTTGTGTTGGATTAGAGCTGGAACTAAATTCTGCAGGAGCATGTTCAAAAACATGAACAACTGGTTTTAGGGATTTGAGGGTACTTTAAAAGCTTAATGTGTGTTTTCTTTTTCATAGATTCAGCTGCACTAACAACGTGAACTGTTTCAGAAATTGCAATTAGTTAAGCAACCATACAGAAATCTTAAAATCAATTCTAATATAGTTATATTGCCCTCTTAAACATAACAGGTCTTAACAGGTCAAGGCCTTTTCTATGAGACATTTATATTTGTGATTAATGTAAATGTTTTTTTTTTTCAAAAATATAAAACATCTTAAACGCCATGTAAGCAGGACGATCAGAAGTACAATGACAAAACAATGAGCTGAACAGAATTAGCATTTCTGGGTAAGTGAACTGGACGGTTAGGTCAAACGAGGTAAACGTTTATATTAGGGATGCACTGATATGGGAATCGTGGGCCGGCACTGATATCTGATATTTTTCTTGTACTTATCTGCCGATGCTGATACATAAACATCTTTCTGTAGGGTTACAAATGCAGTGAAACAGACAGAACGCAGACCTTTTTGGCACAGAAATCCAGCGTCGCCTAAACATCCTGCTCTTTTTTAGGGTACAATAGAATACATCATCAAATATGGGTTTGAAATATCTGTCAAATCTGCTCTGTTTCTTCTGAAGCAATTAACCTCAGATACAGATGTTTCTTACATTATCAGGCATCTAATTTATACGCCCTGTCTAGCTGTGACTTTACAAACTAGTCTAGAGGAAGTAAACTGTTTCTCTTCTAAAGCACTATGGAGCACAACCACTGGACAAAGGCCTGACAGAGTTTAGCTGAGATGAAGGTAAGCTGTGTGAGCTGTGGACCGTTTGGAAAAGGTGTTCGACACGCTGGTCATGTGGACACACTGGTCACAGAGTGTTTGCTGTGTCAACAAGGATGCTCTTAACACACAGTCATTTTCCAGTCTCACTGAGAGCTTATGTATTTATAAAGTTAAAGACACCTGTATAAACGTTAGGACATTAGTTTGAGAGCTTACATTATCATTATATTGTGTTAAATACCAAAATATTAAAACAATACCTGTATAAATGACTAACTAGCTAACTCACACATACGCACACTTGTGAACACACCCCACACCACTCAGAGACACTCAATGTGTAAATAATGTATTAAAAAGTCCGCAAAGTCTCCAATATTACTAAAAAAGAAGACTAAGTGATCGACAAACTTACCATTTTGACAGTAATCCGGTGTAAGACGAATGACCTGCATTGTCTCTACTTCCTCAGACGTTGTACAGAAGTGAGGCGTTTATTCCACACGCAGCAAAACACTTAATCCATCCGTTGAGATTTCCATGTAGTCGTTCATGAGAGGAAACGGTCGCTTATCTGTGAATTTTGTCCTGTCTAAATCTCTGAACGGACACCACGTTCACATCCGTGAGTAGCCTCGAACGTCTCGGTGTGTGAAGCGGAAAACAGCTCAGGTGAGCACAGCGGCCACGCCCAGCCTCACTGCGGTTAGCACAGAGCTATGCTAAACCATCTCGCCCTCACATGGAACCTAAACAACGCTCGGAAGAGATTTCCACCGATTCTTTCTGCATAATGCAGTTGATGAGGTGTAAATAAAGTCAATCATTAATTTACAGCAGTCTGCAGTGCAAATATTGCCATTTTTTTACTACCCAAAATGTCCAGTGAACCTATGTGTATCTTTATAGATTTTATATGTAATGTTAATAGGGGTAAAACGGTGATATACGTGAAAAAAATAGTTCACAAAGTGTTCTCTATTTTCTATTTTCTGTATCTATTTTCCCGTACAATGCCCTGCATGGGAACCTCGAAGGTGACATGGTGTTTATTTATTAATGAGGTGTGGCCACAAACTACTACATTGAGGCCACGATTTACTATACTGAGGCCACAAATTACTATATTGAGGCCACAGTTCACTATATTTAGGCCTTTATTTACAATATTGAGGCCACAAACTTCTAAACTGAGGCCCAAAATGACTATATTAAGGCTACAAATTACTACACTGAGGCCACAAATTACTATACTAAGGCCACAAACTACTATACTGAGGCCACAAACTACTATACTGAGGCCACAAATTACTATACTGAGGCCACAAACTACTATACTGAGGCCGCAAATTACTATATCGAGGCCACAAATTACTACATTTAGGCCACAATTTACTACATTAAGGCCTTTATTTACTATGTTTAGGCCAGAAGTGACTAGATTGAGGCCACAAATTATTGTATTGTCTACACAAATTAGTATACTGAGGCAACAATATAGTGTATATATGTACTATATTGCATTGAGGCCGCAAATGAATGCATTGAGTTAAGTTTCTCATAACTCGTGGCATCAATATATTAAATTGTGGCCTCATTGTTGTAATGTGTGGCCTAAATATACTAATTTGTGTCCTCTATATATTTATTTGTGGCCACGCTTTATTAACAAATAGTCACCTTAGGGGCTCCGTCTGTGTGAACAGATTTAAAAAAAATACAGGCAGTATTCAGTTTCTAAAAGGCAGTATTCAGTTTTTTAAAGTCAGACTCATTTAACACCTGTAGATCAGTGGATTTAGTTATTACTCAGCTGTGAACAACTTGTCATAATTAACGCTAGACAGTATGTTCTCTGTCTTGCTGTACTGGTATACTGACAAAGCTGTATTGATCACAAAAAGTCTCAATTTTAACAGATTCTTGTCACGTCCAGCTGAATACCACTGAGTGCTATGCTAATGAAAGAGGCTAAGCTGTAGTCTACCTCATAGCATTAAACTAATACAGAGTGTTATGTCCTGCCTGTGAGACTTTAGAAAATAGGCTATGAGGTTATTGGCTATTTAAGTAGCCTGAAATGTTTAACAATTTATACTTAACAGAAAAGGAATGTAACACGACTGGGTGCGGCTCAAAAACTATGCATAAATCATCAGCACGTCCTCAGCTAACTGCACACAGTTCAGCTCCGTTAGACGGAAATCTGACGCAATGGAAAGTTTGTGATTTTAACATTCGCTGTGGAAAAACTGAGTTTTGCAGTCTAAAGAAAGTAGGTTATTTATGACCAAAACAATCCATGTGCTCAAAAATCCTGTACCATCTACTCACTACTGTTTTGAGGATCTGGCAGGTGTAGTTCATATATAGGTCATATTTTTATTATGCTTTCCTTCTTTCTAACTCAGCATGCTTTGTTTAGATTTTTATCAACTTGACTGTAGACCAATTAAAATATCCCTTAATATTCATTGAGACACATGAGACAGGCTAAAAATTGTGAATTGTGTTGAATTAATCGATTAGCTAGTTCTATAAACACATAATTATAAATATGTGCATGAAGAAGATGGACAGCAGCAGTGAAGAAAGTACAGGAGCAGAAAAGGTGTGGCAGAAACAAGTATATCTGAGATAAATGGGGAGGAACCTTCAGCAATCAAGATTGGACAAGTCAAGCTTTTGAAATCATGATCTAACATGTTTTTAAGCCTCAATGATAGCTGGGAGCAGTGCAAAAGAAAGAAGGAGAACAAACGTCTTTTGGAAGGAACAGAATCCTTAATGTCTTTGGACAATAAAAGACCTTTTTCATTTTTCCCTTTTTTCCTTAGGACAAGAGAGGTGAATGTCAGTTGATAGAAAAAGTAAAAGTTTGTTAAGGAATTAAGGAAACGTGGACAGGATTCATTAAAAGAAATGAATTCATGCTGTAAAAAACACAGTTTGCCCCAAAAAGACATGTTCTTGAAGCTTCTGTGAAACATTATTAGGTATGATGGCTACAGACTGCACTTCTGGAGGACTTTCAACAGGTCGTGCTTCACTTTAACCCTTCCTTACACCAACAAGTCATTTTAATAACATCCAAGCCAAAGTAAACAACATCTTGCTCATATTAGTAGGTTAATAATTATGTGATATTTTATGGTGTGACTTTGGTGGCCAAGTGTGGAGAGTTACTCTGAATGCAAGCAACATATGGTCTCAAATTGTCTTGGACAAACACACAAATTGCTTTGGCTTCAGTCAAGTTCGTGTTATGGGACAAACAGGTTTTTCCAGCCTTCTGAGAAGAACTGTGAGCTTCAGCAGCATCAACAAAGACAGGTGTCAGGTGTCGGCTGTGCTGGGGTTTCAGAGAGGCAGTATAGGCTAATTACACCAGCTGCTTATCACTGCGGAGTCGTGTGCAGAGAGGGAGGAACACAGGCAGCATATACAGAGCCATGGAGACTGGTAACCTAGCACACGTGAGCTCACTCTCCTGGAAAATGAGCGTCATCAATCCTAAAGGTCCAGGGTCCCCTGACGTTGTACACCAGACCACAGATTCCAAATATATGCTTCTAATACATGCTCTAAAGGCACATGTACATTTTTGATTCAATCTGAGAGTATATTAATTGGGTAACACTTCATTTGGATGGTCCCCTGTAGATGCTTCGTAAATGCATAGTCTGTTTTAAAGTAACATTCAACTAAATATCTATTAAATGCAACTGACCTTCATGTTCAGTGTGAAAAAGTTTATTAAATCTATCCCTAAACCTAAACCTAACCAAAACCTACATCTACTCCTAACCCTAACCTCAATGTTGTTGATAATCAACTGAACATCACCAGAACGTTTGTTAATGATTTAAGTATGTGTAGAGCATCTATAGGGGACCGTCGAAATAAAGTGTGACCATTAATTGAGGTATGGTTTATATAACAGTAGTAGGTAGAGACTGTACAAGGAAAAGAAATAAGGGGAACTTACTCAACTTCCCTATGCCAGTAGGAAGTTCCCAAAAGCTATTTCCTGCAGTTATCTTTAGTTAGATAATAAACATACAAAGTTACATTTGAATAGCTCTCTTATACAGTCATATGCAAAAGTTTTAATACGCCTGGCAACATTTCTGAATTAAAAAGTTAACCTCTACATGGGACAAACTTAAATATGTTGTTTTCTCCACAACTATTTATTTATTTGCTTCTATTTAAACATTTTTGCATATTTAAAAAATTAAAAACAAATATAAAATGCACCACAACATTTGCGCAGGCCACATTTTATGTTTTATTTTTTCCTCAATATGTTGAATTCACCAAAAAAACAGTGATTGTACATTACAATGTGCAGAAGTATGTTTTCTGTTTAGAAGGAGTCTTAATTATTTTCACTTATCATGTAATTTGATCAGGGGCATCCAAAGTTTTGCATACGACTGTAATAATAGGAGCATGGACTGATCTCAATACATCAATACACACAATCTCAATACAATAGTACATTGTGTATGTTCAGCCCTGTTTGTACCTTGTATTAACAAAAGTGAACAGCGAGATGTTAAGCCCTTACACCTTCCATCCATGTCTCTCTCTAATGTGTCTCTAGTGGTGATTGGATTTCATGACTGAAGGAATGGGTGCTGCGTACATTTACTATGTCAGTTTCTTGCTGCATTTGTTGCGAGACAAAAATATCAATACCATTACAGAGCGCCAGTTTAAGAAAGATACTGTCCAAAATTCTACTATTTCAAGAATATTGCACTCAGAAAGCGGGATAGGATTATATAACGGAGGGAACGCAGCGATCCGCGCTCATGTTTGTGTGATGTGTATTGTTTGTGTGATGTTTATGTGTAGATAGTGAAGCACAGAGAACCCGTTGGTGTGGTTGTTTTTTCTCTGGTTTTATATTAAGCTTATTTTATTTAATAGTCTATTCAGGGGATCTGAACATTATGTAGTAGTTATTTATTTATAATGATGGTCAGTGCTTTGTAGCTAGGTAATTATAGCATTCCTTAACGCGTGTATTCATAATAGATTAACGTTAGCACGTTCTTATACGAAGCTGAAGTTAGCTTCTTTATTCGCCAGCTTCTTGTTCGAATTTTCCCGTTCCACCTTAAATGGTGCATCAACCAGCTTCTTGTTCGAATTTTCCCGTTCCACCTTAAATGGTGCAGCTTCAGGTTGCTTTTTAAGGTGGAACGGGATAATTCGAACAAGAAGCTGGTTGATGCACCATTTAAGGTGGAACGGGAAAATTCGAACAAGAAGCTGGCGAATAGGAAGCCAACTTTAGCTTCGTCATTCTTACTGTGTTTTTTTTTGTGTGTGCTGTGTGTGTTTGTGTGTGGGGGGGTATTTTATTTTTTATGTGTATTAAGATTATAAGTGATTCACGCATTGATGGATTTGATGATGTGTGTGAGATTATGTTTCTACCGGAGCTCGCGCTAAACTCGGTTTTTACCGATTGAATACTTTCCTGCTGGTCCGAACGGCTAATTAGCACGATCAGTTATTAAAGAAATAAAAGCTACCGAGAGCAGTCCGTGCAACATAGATAAATCTGTGTCTGAGATTATAACAAAACTAATTTGGTGAAAATCGGTTGAGTAATAAGGAAGTTCTGGCCGATTTAATCCTGAGAACTCATCATCTCTCAACACAAGTGTGTGTGTTCAC